GCAAACCCTCATTTCCTCCGCTCAGTTCCTCTCTCACCGCTCTACAACAATTTCCTCCCAGCTTCGTGAGTTTGGTGTCTGGCAGCTGAGTGAACCGTGGGCCGCCCGAATGTGTGTGCATATAGGGCTGTCTACTCAGTAAGGGTGGCCTCTCAAGGGCTGCAACCTTTCTGAGCAGCCATCAGATGCTAATGGCTCCTCGGCTGGGGTGGAGCTCCATGTCCACCCCCCTTTCCCTGCTGGGATCTTGTCTGTCTTGAGCTTGCTGAGGTCTCACACGTGCAGTCCCTGCTGTTCTGAGTTCACGTGCACAGCTGCCCAGATGTGTCCTGAAAACAGATTCGCTGTAGTCCCCCACCCCCTCGGGCACTTACACGTCTTCCATTCTCTCTTCTACGATGATCCCTGGGCCTTGGGAGGGGACGGGTCAGGTAGCCGTCCCATTTGTCCCATTTAGGCCGAGAGCTCCACGCTCTCATTCTTTGCGTGCCGACCAGGTGTGGGTCTCTGCTAACCATTGTCTGCTACACATAGAAGCTTCTCCGATGAGGGCTGAGAGATGCGTTAATCTGTGAGTAAAATGGTAAATTGTCCACTCGGTTTAACACTGTGTCCATTTAGCAGAATAGTAGTGGTAGGGAGGGAGAGAGAATTTTAGAAATTAATCTTCCCAAGGCTGGCACCATTTGCTTGCTCTCTGTAAGTGCCCTCTGCATCCATGCTCTGCCACGCTGCCATGGCTGGTTCTAGAGCCATCGGTGCCGGGTAGTTCTTCCTGAGATCACTGGGGACCATCTTCTGCTCTTCCCTTATCACCTGGCGCCCCTGACTACGTGAGGGGGGAGCCTAATGTCCCAGGTGTCCTTCGGTAGCAAGTGCTAGAAACCTCAAACTCACTCCATGCCAAAGGAAAAAAAAATCTCAGGATTTGTGGGTCCATCGTGAACTCCAAAGACAAGCTGCATAGTCAGGCCCTGCTAGGTACAATCAAGAGGACCAAGGTATTTCTTTTCGGTCTGTGTGCCTCTGTTTGCTACTGTCCGTCTGTCTGTGTCTCCCATTCATCTCTACAAGCCCCACCTCTCTTCATTCATCTTTGTCTCTTCATTCTACACGTGTCTGCTTCTGCCCGGGACTGTCTCTCAGGGCCATCATCAGGGAGAGCAGGCCGAGGGTCTACATATGACACTGAAGGGTATACGCCCTCCCTGGCGCCCGCTTCGCTCTTACAGGGGCCCCAGGGTGAGGGCCTCCTCCAGTGAGTGCCTTGGGTATCCTGCTCCCCCACCTTGGTCCCCACGTTCCCCTGTGACTCCCTCCTGCAGCTGAGTGTTTCCGTCAGATTTCTTTTTAGTCCTGTGGACTTCAACCACCGGTCTGTCCACCTCCAGCAATGGTGGAAGTTGTGCTCATCTCTTGTGTGCAGCCCTCAGAATCTTCCAGTCACAGCACAGCCCATCCCCTTCAGCCATCCTTACCTTGTCCCATCAGCTGAGGTCAGAGACGGGATGGGGTGGGGAGGGACCTTTTAGATCTCTGCTCCCTGAAGAGCCCTTCCCTTCTATGCAGAGTACGGTGCAGACACACTGCTCACCGACACTGCAGACTTCTTTGCCCTTGGGGCTTCTGGGAATCGGGCAGAACACAGACAGAGCTCAGGGTGGTGGCTGGGAAGGACAGACTCCCCGGCCGCCAGCTCTATCGCACCGTTCTCTAAAGCCTTCTGCCATAAGCTGCCTCCCCCTCAGGCACCGCAGTTCTAGCTGCCTTGGAAGGAGCTCTGCCACCACCCATTTGGGGTTCTGGGTTTAGGTGGCTGTGTGGTGTGCGGTGAGAACATTCTGTCAGATGTTTTGGAGAACTCAGGAGGTATCAGGGAGGGGGAGGTCCAGCTTCCTTTCTGGAGATGCCAGAGGAGGCTGGGGGAGTCTCTGTCTAGTGAGGCCCTGATATAGTGTGAGGAGCCCAGTGGCTGTGGGGGTGGAGGAGGCAGAGGCCCCGTGAGCCCCTGCCTTGTGTCTGGAAGGGCCTTGCCAGCCTTGCTACCCCTAGGCAGCTCCAAAACAGCAGTTGGGGGGGCAGGTAGGGCGGGCGAGAAACGCATCCCCATTCTAATGGGGAAGATGTGGTAAGTGGCATCTTGGGCTACATCTCAATTTCATGAGATGTCATTTAGTGAGAAAGGCTGCTCAGGGTGGGCATGGGTGAGGAATGGCCTCGGGTGAGCATATGCAGTGGGAGCTGCAGAACGGGGGACTCTAGACCTAAATTCACACCCCGACTCCTGCCAGGATTGCATAGGGCTTCTACACATCTGCCCCAGTCATCAGTGCCCTGCACCCCAAATCTGGATACTGCTTTCAGTCACTGTGTTTCTGGGGGAGACAGGTGCCACACTGTCAAGCCCCTTTAGACAGGCAAGAGGCACCCCAGCGGAACAGGTTTCCTCCTGAGTGCTGGGTGAAGGCCTCATGGATGACAACTCAGCCACAGAAGTCTGTATAGTGAGTCCATCCATCTGCACCGCTCTCCACACTCTGGTGTTCCATTCATTCAGCTGAGCCCATTATCATTGACTGAGTGCCATGCATAGGTACCCATTCTCCAGAGTAGCAGAGAAGGCAGGTGGCCACTTTAACTAGGGTTGGGGTGGAATTCTGTGGTAGCACAGGGCTACTATCAGGGACCTTCCTAAGGGACCTTCCTAGTGGAAGTGGGAAAAGTATGTCCCCTTAGCTGGAGTGGATGATCTGACTGGCATGGAGGAGGGCGTGGCATCCAGAGTGATAAGTATTGACAGAAGGGATTGATGGGCTCAGAGAGTAGACAGAATGGTCCACTGATCTGGTGTCAAACTGGCCCAGGCAACCTATTAACCCTGCGGCCACAGCCTCTGAAATATGCCGCTCCCATCTCAGGGCCAGGCCTTGCAGGGGTAGGAGTGGGATCTAGGTTCTGGGGACAGGGCTGTGAATCCTCGGGCCGCTTAGGGAAAGGCTTGAGGCCCTGGAGTCCGGCAGGGGCAGGCTGCACCCATCGCTATGGCAGTTTGTGGGCAAAGCCTCTTGGCAGAGGGGAGATTGCACTGCCAGCCACTTCCTGCAGTTCCTTCCCTTCGCCTGATGTCACAGTTACCTCTGCCGGCTCTGGGGTGAGGCTGAGGTTGGGCGGAATCTGTTTCAGCCAGGTTTCTGTGTCCTAGAAGCAGGTCAGCCAGAGGAGCTGTCACTTCTGGTTCCGTTTCAAAGGAGGCCAGGGGCCCGGGAGGTGTCGGGTGTGGTGGCATTGGCCAGTCAGCTCTCCATCGGCCTCCCGGGGGGCCAGTTTGGCTTAGAGAGGAGTCTGAAGGTGTTGATGATGGAGGTAGGCAGCTCTGCCAGAATCTGTTTCGTGGGCCAGAGTGCTGGTCTGGGTCCTCTGCCGGTGCTCTTGACCACGCCAGAAGGGCATGGGGAGAGGATCCTTATTTTCCTGGCTGATGTCCCTTTGGGCTGAGACCTTGTCACAGGCTGTGGACTGCCAGAGTCACCCTCTAACCTTATCCCACTCAAGAAGTGACAGAGTTGGCAAGCCCAGAGCGGCACCACAGCTTGAGGCCTCTGACTTGGAGCTGCCCCTGGCCCAGCTGGCCCTCTGAGGCCCCTAGATTTCCCTGCTTGGCAAGGACAGCACAAGCCACCCCAACAGAGTACCCCTGAAGGAATGTGGCCCGGCGGGCAGAGTGTTTAATGCACAGGCCCTAGGTTTAATCCCCCAGTTTCTAATGCATTGATCTGTGGTAGCCTACAGCTATAATCTTAGCACCCAGGAAGTGGAGACAGGCCGATTATAAATTCAAGGTCATCTTGACTACATAGTGAGCTGGAGAACAGCCTTGGCTACACGAGACTCTGCCTCGATATTTATTTATTTGTTTATTTTTAGAGCAGAAAGGTTGCAACTGGCAAAGCCCGACTGGCTCTGCCGTGTCTTTGTTGAGTGGCCTTGGATGAAGTGACCTTTTAAGCCTCAGACTTGCTGTCTGCAAAATGGGACAGTAGCAGCACCTTCCCAGTGCTGTTCCTTGATCTTGAGGATAGAGTGGTTTATGTTGAAAGACTTTGCCAAAGCAGGCAAGAGGCGGCTCCTGCCATTACTGCTAGTGAAACGCTAGCGTCTGCCAGGCAGGGAGGCTGTGTGGTGAGCTTTTGCTCCTCCTGGGTTATGGGCCTTTCTTCATGCATCCTGAATTTCTTGCCAGAGACAGGCTAGCTGGTAATCTCAGGGGACTCTGGGATGTGTCCTGGCACAACCCCCCCCCCAGCTGTCTCATAGCTGAAGTCTTGGGGGGGCGGGCCAGGCTAGCTGGTAATCTCAGGGGACTCTGGGGTGTGTCCTGGCACACCCCCCAGCTGCCTCATAGCTGAAGTCTTGGGGGGGGCTACAAAGAAGGGAAAGAGGATTCTAGCCAGGTGAGGGGACAGAGTCACTGTGACAGCCTGGGGAAAATAGATCACAAGTTTGGAGGACCAACAAAAGGAGCCTCATTAGTAGGAAGGGGAGGCATGGGTTTGAAATCCCAGCAAAGACTGGGCAGGGCGTGTGCACAGTGGGAACCTGGGTCTCTGCCCAAGGTGTTTTTAAGGAAGTGCCTGGGAGCTGCTGGCCTGGAAAAAAATCACACCCAGAGGGCTGGAGCCAGGCAGAACAGGTTGCCCAACTCCCTTGTGGGGAGCCGCCTGCCTCCTATGAGTGGACTGCCCAGGCTCCCAGCCCCAGAAACTCTGTCTGAGCCAGGTAGCCCTGCCCTTAGGGGACACTGGCCCCTCCCCAGGATACCCACCCGCTCCCAAGGTATAGCCTCCTACCACCAGGAGACCTATCCTTCTCAGCAGCCAGAGGTGTTTGCTGAGATGTGGGTGCCAAAGGGGGCTCTGTCCCCCTGTCTGTCCGTGTGTCAGGTGGGAAGCTGTGCCCAGGGCCACCCGGGGTGTCTAATCCGTGGCTCTGTGCCCTCACAGCTAGACGAGGAAGAAGAGCGAAGGAAAAGGCGCCGAGAGAAGAACAAAGTCGCCGCGGCCAGATGCCGGAACAAGAAGAAGGAGCGCACGGAGTTTCTGCAGAGGGTGAGCGGGGCAGCTGTGCTGAGGAGGCACCTGCCCTTTACAAGGGGCCTGATGTGCTCCGCAGGCGGGGACATCATCATCGGAGCAGGGCAGCTGTGGTGGGGGGCACCTGCCCTTTACAGGGACCGATGTGCTCCGCAGGCGGGGACATCATCAGACACAGCAACCCAGAGACGGTAGAAAGATCCATGTTTTCCTCCCCTGTGCCTAGATCCTGGGTACCGACTCATCCAGTTGGTCCAAACCTGGCATTATCCCCTTTGGCCCCTGTGGCCACCACAGTGTTAGGGTGCATACTAATAAAGTAGGACGTTGGGGCAATGTCATGCAGTTACATCTGGCAGTGGATGTAGCTCCTGGGCTGGCTCCCAGGAAAAACTCCATTTATTGCAATGTCTCATCCATCCTGCATTCCCACTGGCCAGCGCTTAGCCCCACTGAAGATGACTCTGAACTCGTTGTTGCTGGTCTGTATGTGGAGGTCAGCCTCCGGTTGCTGCCTCTTGCCTTCCGCTGTCATCTGCCTTCTTACTTTTGATACGCCTAGCAGGGTGCATGTTCTTTCTTCCCCTGGGTCCTGCATCTCGGCCCGCGATGGTGACACTGAAGAGGAGTGAGCCGAAAGCTGAATAGTCTGTTCCCCAGCGATGCCCCCGCAACCCTGTCATTGGTTTGTTACTGACCAGCAAGCATTTTTATTCTTACGAGCCACCACAACCGTGAGCCGTAGTCGTGAACATTTGCAAAGCCAGGCACCGTACTAAGAGCTGCGTGTGCGGTCTCATTTTGTTGGCAGAGTAGCCATGAAGTTAGGAACTTTCTGCAGGTGAGGAAGGCACAGGGGAGATAGTGACCCACCCAGGTCTGTCAGCCACCAAAGGGTAGGACTGATGCCAAAGCCTACTGCTGGCCTCAAAGCCTCTGCTATTCACGCTCCTGTTCCTGCTGTGATTCTCAGCCCCTTGGCTGGTTCATTCATAAATTCATTTATCAATTCAGCTAGCGCAGGAAACGTCCAGTGGGGCACTAGGTACCTATTGGGGGACACAGCAAGAGTGGACATCGTCCTCCTTGCTGTGAAGAGTAAGGGAGGATTGGCCTCATGTTCTCCAACACTGGGGTTTGTGGTCCCTTCTCTTTCCAGAAGCAGAGAGCTGTTCTGGGGGGGTCACAGGTGTGAGCAGTGTGAGCTATGTGCAGGCCTCGCTAGCTGTGGGCACCTGGGCAGGGCAGGACTTATCACCAGGGCTGAATCTCCTACTGCTGGGAGGTCTTAAAGTAAGGGTACGCAACACTAGGCTTGGGATTGTTCAGCAGTTTCTAAGGCACAGGCCTTAAAGACGAGGGAGTGTTCTGTGTCTCACATCCATCATCGAGCACTTGGTGGGCAGAGGTGGGAGGCGCAGCCAGGCTTCTCAGGAGAAGCTTCCCATGTGACTCCAGCTTCCTGGAGCTCGTGAGGCAGTTAGCAGGCAGGGCGTGCCCACACCAGAGGCCCTCAGCAGCACAGCGGTACACTAGGTAGCCAGTGCCAGATGGACGACTCTTCATTCTGCTAATACTTGCTAAGCACCTACTGTGTGCCTATAGGTGATGCCAGGTGAACTTGTCAAACACCAGCCATTTCATGTGGCTACAACAGTTCAATGAGATAACCTTAATTAATTCCCATTTTAGAGATTGGTCTGTAGTTCAGAGAGATCAAGTTGTTTTCCCAAGGTCACACCGCTAGCGGGCGGAGGGCCGGGACTCAGCCATCTTTTTGTCTAACGGGATAACCAAGGGCCAGCTGCACTGTGGGTCAGTGGGTCCTGCTCTCTGTGGGTAGCAGATGGAGAAAGAGGAACTGCCACCCAGAGTGCTGTGGGAATACAGTGCAGCTGCAGGCAGGGCCCCACCTGAGGGCGGGCTGAGTAAACTGTTGCATTTGTGTGATAAAATAGGGGGAAGCAGGAAGAAGATGAAGTCTGTGGGATGGGGGGTCGTCAGGAGCAGCTCATAAAGAAGTGCTGTGTAAGGGTGTGCTCAGGGCATTAAAAAGAACATTGGATTCCCACACGGAAGGACAGAGGAGCACGAAGACCCTGAGCCTACACGCTGGCTTGTCTGAAACAGACCAGTGCGTCCCTCTTGTCCTGGCCGGTTATTAAGACACCTTCCTCCAGTCTCATGAGTGTCCCCTTTACATGGTAATATCTGTGGCCCTGGGGAGCCATGACAGGATTCAGGAGGAGAAAGGCGTCAGTCAATCAGAGGAGTTCATTGGCCTGGGGCAGCTGAAATACTGGGACACATTGTCCCAGTAAGAGATGTGGCTGCCAAATCGGAGAAAACTATGTGACCTTGGGTCTGGAGAGCAGCACCACGTGGGCTCCAGCCCAGTCCCCTCTTCCCTGGACACAGCCCCCCACCAGAGGCCTTGGGAGCAGAAGGCTGGATATGAAGCAGGCCCCTGTGCTGGCAGTGCCTGCAGACCTGAGGAATGTAGCTTTTAACCCTCACCCAACCTGACCTCTGGACACTCACATGCAACCAAAGAGACAACCTCTCAGAGTCCTCTCTAGGTCAGCCTTGGGTGGCACAGGCCTTTGCGTGGGTCAGTTCACAGCCCACAGATCTTGGGCCTACCCCAGAGCCTCCATCTGCAGCCCAAGGTGTCTCTCTCTATAACGCTGGCTACTGCCGTGACACTGCACCCAACACAGGGTTCTCTGGGCCCTGGAGGCAATGAGACCATTTTACATTCCCCAGATACTCTGTACTCTCTCCCCCTAGGCTCACTCCACCTGGTGGTCATGCTGGCCCTGGAAGGATGGGCAGGGTCCCCTCTGCTGGCAGGTTTCTGAGGGGCGAGTGGGTGGGGCCTCCTCTGTTGCCCAGCTCTCTACTCAGGTTGCTCAGACTCCAAGAAATGGGGAAAGCTGTTCCCAGAAGCATAGGTAGCAAGCAGCCAGCATTTAGCCCAGGCATAAGCTGTTTCCCAACTTAGAAAAGTTGATGGGACTCAACTTTTAAAAATGTCCCCTAGGACATTTTTAAATATAAAGTCAGGGCCAGACTTGGCGGCACATGCCTTTAATCCCAGCAGAGGCAGGCCGATCTCTGAGTTCAAGGCCAGCCTGGTCTACAGGGTGAGCTCCAGGACAGCTGGGACTACACAGAGAAACCCTGTCTCGAAAAACAAAAACAAAAAGAAGAGGTTAGTGATGCCAGACCAAGTTGTCCCAAACGTTACCTGTGTTTGTGACACAGATGTCCACAGCAGGGGTTGACTCTCCTCTGCTGGGGTGGAGGAGGTAGCTCTGTGTGGTGTTAAGTGCTGTGTTGTATTCCTCCCTCAGGGGTTTGGTATTATTATTATTATTACTGTTTGGGGTTTGGGAGACAGTCTTGTATAGGCCAAGCTGGCTTCAAGCTTACTGTGTAGCCAAGGCTGGTCTTGAACTCCAACTTCTGAGGGTTTGAATTACAAGCTTGTGCCACTATGTTCAGCTAGCCATGTCCAGCTCGAACTTAGGCTCACTGTAACAAAGGCCAAACTCCTTCCGACCCCACTTAGCACTCTCCAGGCCAGCTCCCCTCTCAGACTCCATTCTAGTGTCCACGCACCTTCCCCCTCTGCCCTGCCCCCTTCATTTTCCAAACCGGGGACCTGCCAAGTTGTCCTCGAAGCGTCTTTCTTTTTCTGACTCTCTTCTTGCTCAGAGGCTAAAGGAAGGCTCCTGAAGTCCCTCTAGCCCTTCAGCGTGCACAGTGCTTTCCCTGTGGGAACTCTTCTAATCCCAGGGATCGTCACCTCTAGACAGACAAGATAACTTGCTCTAGACTCAATTCTAAACCTCCAGTGTTTGCATAGCTGCCGCTGTCTCTGCTCTCTCCACCGTGTCCTAGAGGGCAGAGCACTGTGGTCCCTGGTTATCTCCTCACGCATGGCAGCTTCTTCCCTTCCCCCCTCAAGCATCTGGAGCCAGCTCCTCACCCTGCAGTCTCCTTGCTAGTCTCCTGCACTCAGAATGGCTGGTCGTTAGCGGGGCCCTTGGCGTGTGCTGGGTGGATACTCGTCACAAGCCACGGGAGGGCTGTTCATAGGCTTCGGATTCCCCAAAGTATTCATGGCCGTGGCGTGCTGAGGCACGTCCTCAGAGGTGGGTAGATGGCCCTGAGGCTTCTCCACACAAAGGCCTGCCGAGGACAATCTGAAGATTGTGTCGGCAGCTTGGGCTGGGGGAGGTGGGGAGCATGGGGGAAACCCTAGCCATCTCTCAGGGTTCTGAGAAGTGTGGACCCGGCCAGCACTCCAGGCTTGTCTCAGCCTGTCCCATTAAAGGCCACCGTAGACACGTCGTTTTGGTAGTTTTCCCCTTAGCTTTTCTTTTCTCCTTTTTGAAGCTGTTGCTCTGAGTGTCTGGTTCTAAGCTTGCCTACCTCAGCCATTCTGAGCTCTTTGGGAGCCTGTGCGGCCACCTCAGAGATGTGTACTAGGAACAATCCCGACTGTCACTGGCGGGGCCAGCAGTGTGAGGAAGAGGCTCTCTCACTGGAGTTGTGGGGACTCCACCGAAGGCCCCAGAGTCTCAGAGGGAGGCTGCCCCAACTGCACCCCACAGGGCAGAAGGACCTGTCACACAGACAGTTGCGAGCTCAGGCTGCTCTGTGACTAACTCATCATCTTCGCCATTGGCGTTCTGGACTGGAAGGTCCTTGTGAGGGCTGTCACAATCACCGCATCTTTCTTCTCCACGCTGCCTTAGCTGTGAGAGCCAAACACTTCTCCATGCCTGGGGACAAGGTCACTCCCAGTGAGGACTGGCCTGAGGTTCCTCAGTTCACGCGTGTGGAGAACTTTCAGTGACAGACCCCCTGCTGTGCGAGCCTCAGGCCTTGACCAGGTCTTGACCGGGCATGCGGAGTCCCTTGTCCCCACTGTGAACACAGCCCCACAGCCCATCACACCCTCAGCATCCCTTCCTCTCCTCAAGGCCGGGAGTGTGCAGGAGTTTCCTCCAAGACCAGTTTAAAACCTCCTCCTGATGATTGTGGACGGAACTCCTAGACTGTGGGGGGGACTGGGGGGGATGGGGAAAGTTCTAAGTAATTACAGGCTGGTGGCCAGGAGACCCTGTTTCAGCAGGGGTGGCCCTCACTAGGATTATTCGACTATCCCGGCACACAGTTGCCACATAGTAGGTCACTTGGTTTTGTGCTGCCACCTGTGGGCCAACGTGGACTCCCCTCCACTCACCTGCTCCAGATCCACCTGGCCTCCTTTCTTGGCCTTCCTCCCCCCTTTTTTTTTGGTGCAAAAATCTTGTTGCAGGGGAGCCTTTGGGTGTGTTGTTTAGTGAACAGCAGGGAGAGGGAAGGGGTACGAATTGGACTATTCCCCACATACCAATCCTACGGTGGCAGAGGTCATTACTGTGACAGGGCCCTGCCTGCCAAAGTCGCTTACCCCAGATGCTCAGCCTTCCGTGGGACCTGGCAAGCAGAGAGCCACACCAGCGGGACAGGAGCCAGGCAGAGTGCATGGGACTTCAAAGGAGCAGGCTGGCAGTGACGGCTGATGGCGTGTCTCTGTCTGCACAGGAGTCCGAGCGGCTGGAGCTCATGAATGCAGAGCTGAAGACCCAGATCGAGGAGCTGAAGCTGGAGCGGCAACAGCTCATCCTGATGCTCAACCGCCACCGCCCCACCTGCATCGTGCGCACGGACAGCGTCAGGACGCCTGAGTCCGAGGGCAACCCGCTGCTGGAGCAGCTGGACAAGAAGTGACCCAAGGGCCTGGAGGACGCATCGGAGGAAGAGGGGAGGGGGGCGGAGCAGCCAAAGGAGAAGAGGAGCGAGGTGATGGAGGCCCCCCTGGGTGCATGACAAACTCTGTGATGAGGCGCAGCATAACTGGCCTCCAGTCTGCTCTTTTCTGAAACTCAGCCCAGCCACGTGAGAGCAGACTGAAGAAACCAGAGGGACCAAGCGATGAGACCAAAGTTGACCCGCAGGTGGGGGCTGTCCCACTCCAAGGCCCAGCTAGAAGGGCACCTCAGTCAGAGAGATGCCCAACCAGGTAGCCTCCTCAGGCGCTCCTCTGGCCTCTCCGCCAAGACCCCCCACCCAAAGGACTACCGAGCAGCCAAGAAAAGCCATGCGTCACGAGCACAGTGTGGCCGAGGATGAAACTTAGCGTGGACCGCAATCCACTTCCCCAGCCCTGCCCAAGCCCGATGGAAAGGGGTGCCCTGTGGGGCTGTGATGGCCCTGCCCGGGTGGCGCAGCCTGGTGGCCCTGCTGGAGTTTGCTGTGGCACTGAGGCGCGGGCGCCCTTCCAAAGCACACACTCAGTCGATGAATGTTTACAGACTGGCTGTCCTGGCGGGGCTTCCAACTGCACACTTTTTTTTTAATACTTTCTTTTTTTTAAATATTTTTTACAAAAAAAAGATTTTATACGAGCAATATATATATGGATTTCTATAATCACTCGATGTGACACAGTACAAATATGCTATGGTCTGTTGTTACGGACATCCACCCACCAGTTACAGCCATTGTAATTCCTAAGTACTGTAGACTCTGGGTGTTGGGGGGTGGTGGCCAGGCGGGTGGGGTGCATTTCCATCCTTGTAAACCCTTCCTAGTACTCAGTCCTGTATCGCTCAGTAAACATTGCTCTAATTACCCAGCTGCCTCGAGTGGTGTCTGCCCAGGGAGAGGGCATGCCCAGGGCAGGAATGGTTTGAAGTAGTTTCCATAGCTGCCCTCCCAGGTAAGCCTCAATGTGTCCATTTTTCAGATGAGAAGACCAAGACCTAGAGATGTTCAAGAACTCCGTAGTACCATTTTGAGAGTACTGTTTCATTTATAGGCCACAAATGTTTTATATTTATTTTTTATTATTTTTAATTGTGTGTGTGTGTCTTTGTATAGATATGTACAAAGGTTAGAGGATTTGGATCCCTCTGGAGCTGGAGTTATAGGTTCTTGTGAGCACCTGATGTACTTGCAGGGGATACAAACTTGGGTCCTCTGAATGCACCCGAGTGCACCAGGCACTGCAGCGAACCGAGCCTTTGCTGGGGATAAACAAACCTTGGTTTTGCCCCATGGAGTCCACAATGGCTTCATCTCATGCTTGCTTGCTTACTCAAACACATCTCCCTTCATCTGCACGGCAGCTTTGTCAAAGGGGCAGCCATTGGATGGGGATTTGGAGGCCCAGGGGGATAAAATGAAGCCATCACTCGTTGAAGTCATACTGCATGGTAAGTGTGAGGTCCCATTTACTCCCTACGATAGCACAAAGCAGGTCCTCCTCTCGCCCAGAAAGCTTAACTAAGGCTCGGAGAGAGCACATGACTTACCCAAGGTCACTCAGCTAGAGCATGGCTTTTCCCATCACCAGCTGTCTCTGATTGTCCCTTTGGATGAATGTCACACTCTGGGAAGTGTAGACTCTAGAGAGTTCTAGGTTGGCCCGTGATGATGTAGTGGACCAGCTCTCTCAGCAAAGGCGTTCATGACCCAGGGACACATAGCTCTGGTCTCCACAGTGAAATTTTCTGTCCTGTAGAGGCCGGCAGCTCAGTGCCGTTCATACAGCCACGGCCATTCACTCAGCGTGTCACAGTTTGCAAGGCACAGCTAGGCGTGTCGCCTGTTTCTGTTAGGGTTCTGTGAGGCAGGCAAGGTGGTTTGTCATTAGCTCCCTTCTACCCGGAGGCTTACCAAGCTTAAAGTTCACCCAGCTACAGAGAGGCGAGGCGGGAGCAGACTCCATTATGCTCCTTCCTGGGGATGCATTTCCTCTGGGGCCAGGTAACTTCTTGATGTTGAAACTGTGTGCCAGTGACCTCTGGGAGGGGTGGAGATGGAAAATAGATCACTAGAAAGCAGTCGGTCCCTCTCTTTGCATTCCCTCCATCTGACTTGCTTGGTGTGGTCTATGTACCCGGAACCCCAGCCTGGAGACAGAGCCTGGCCAGCGCACACTGTCTGCCACGGCAGCAGGCAGTAATAACCTGAGTTTCTTTAACTCTGTCCAGCCAGGAGAAAGAGGACAGTGAGAATTTGTGAGAGCCCATCTAGAGGCCTGTAGATGCCCCGGCAGGGTTCCTGTCCACCTGGGATGTGGACAGTAAAAGGATTCAGTCCTTTTTAGGCTATGTGGATGGTTGCCTACCCAGACCAGCGGCCTGAACCTCTGTTCTCACTCACTGACGTCACCATCAGAGCCGGCTCTGTAGTTACACTCACTGACTTCACCATCAGAGCCGGCTCTGTAGTTACACTCACTGACGTCACCATCAGAGCCGGCTCTGTAGTTACACTCACTGACGTCACCATCAGAGCTGTTCTATAGTTACACTCACTGACGTCACCATCAGAGCCGGCTCTAGGGTATTTCCTGTGTGTCACACACTGCGTGCGTTTCAGCTGCTTCGCATGGCCTTTCCTGGAGGTCCATGCTACTGTCTCAGATAGATGGACAAGGCAGAGAGAGGAGGGACCTCTCCCAAGGTCACAGACCTGTCAGGTGGCAGTGTCGGGATGCTATTCTAGGCCTCTCTGGTGGGTAGCAGCTGGGTCTGTCCCTCTCTAAAATGATCTGAGCTTGATTTGTCTGTGCTGAGCCCTGAGATGCCAGAGGATCGTGGCGGGAGGCAGAAGTGGTGGTCCAGAGCCTCGTGCGTTCACAGCACACACTGAGTCTGCAGCTCTAATGCCCGCCTACAAATGAGAGCTTTGTGTTTTCTTGCCTGTAAAGGGGGACGGTAGGATCCTAGTCTTTCTTATGGGGATGTTATCAGGCTCAAACAAGGAATGGAGGTAAGTGAGCATTATCCTGCCCTCTGTTAGAGAGGTTAGTTGATATTTATCACATAAAATTACTTGAATAGCTTTTAGTCTCTAAAGACAGGCTGCAGAGTTTACATTCCGACCATGCCTTGTCACCTGATGTGACAGATGCCTGGGACCCAAGACTTCTGGGCTCCCACAGCTGTGTTGGGTTCATCATTCCCTCCCTGGATGTCCAGGATGACGCAACTGAGTTGTGTGCATTCGTAGCCTGAAAAAGACAGGTGAGACACATTCGCCACCACTACATAGGCAGGTGTAAGACCTGCAGGATGATGGCAGGAGGCTTCCATTCCCCGAAAGTGGGACTCTGGGGAGAGTCTATAGCAGTGCGGTGACCAGTGGTGGCAGGGCACTTCCTCTGACATGGCGGTTTCCTGCCTGAGACTGTACTTGGGAGGAGCTCTGTCACAGGCTCCCCCAAATGCCCAAGGATCACCACTGACACTGTTTCGCTAAAGGGAAACTGGAGGTGATCTAATTGCCTGTGTACGCAAGTATAGACAAATCAACTATGGTGCCTCACAAAATCAAGTGTTAACCCTTAGAAATGAGCCTCGGCTACGTCTGTCAGCAGCCATGTATTCGTTGGGATGAATCTCAGAAGCAGTGGGGAGCTGAAGGACAGGACAGCAAAATACGGAAGGATGTAACGTATGGAACGTTTCTCAACACGTACATCGATAGGTTATTAAGGACACACAGAGATCCAGGTAACAGGCAGAACAGCAAATGCAAGAATGCTATAGATACCAAAACCAGTGGCTGGGACTGACATTGGGGGTGGGCAGGGACCAGCAGTGGCTTCTACAAGGGTAAGCGGAACACTAGGTTTTACTGTACCTGTGACTGTTTCTTCACTTTTCAGCATGGTCATCAGATCTAGAGTAACTCCAGGCTCATCAGGGGTGGTGTGTGTGCTCAGAGGCACTGTTTATATTCTTTTCCTCCTCTGTCTGCTTCAAGTTTTCTGATAAAAAGAGAGCAAATCCCAATTCAAATAGAAGGTTTGGGTTTGGTTTTTCCCCTATTATTTCCTTAGCAAACTCAGGAAATAAGAGCCACTCTGAAATTACAACGATTGCAACACTTGGCTCTGACTTTGTGCAAGCTCAGTTGCATGCCTAGAGGAACAGAGGAGCACTTCAGAATGTGAATCCAGTTGGCCTTGCCCTGGGGAGGCTGCTCTGCCAGTTGTTACCCTGGAGAGCTCCCCCTGCCCTGGCTCAGCAGCTCCCGGTGCCTGAGCACTGGGCTGGGTTAAGTGCACTCAGAGTTAATTCCCACTCCTTATACTCTCTCCTTTCCTGCTGACTTTGCAACCCCGTCACCTGGGCAAAGACTCCACTGTGCCCGGGCCCCTTCAGCAGAGAAAGCAGAGGGTGGGGGCGGCTTTTGAAAGACAAGAACTAGTGGGTTCTGCTGCACTGCTTCCTGTCATTGCTGGGACTTTACAACGGGTGAAATGCCTTCAAGCCACACATATTTTATTGTCTCACAGCTCTGGATTTTAGAAGTGTAAAATGCTTCTCACTGGGCTAATGCCAAGACGTTGTTTGACAGACTGTCCCTTCTGGAGACTAGGGGAGAATCTGTGTTCTTGGTTTTTCAAGAATCATAGTCCTTGATTCACACCCTCTTCCATCTCCAAAGCCAGCAATAACAGCTATCCAAGCCCTTTCATGCCCTGTTCCCCTAATATTGACTTTTTCTTTTCACATCTGTCTTTGTTTGGTTTTGTGTGTGTGTGTGTGTGTACATATTTGTGTATACATATTTGTGTGTGTATATGTTTGTGGGTGTACATGTTCATGTGCATAGTATGTGCATGTTCGTGTGTGTACATATTCATGTGTGCATATGTTCACGTGTGTATACATGTTCATGTATGTGTATGTTCATGTGCATGTACATGTTCATGTGTGTAGTGTGTATGTCCATGTATGTGTACTCGTTCATGTGTATACACGTTCATGTGTGTGTACATGTTCATGCATGTATACATGTTCATGTGTGTACATGTTCACATGTGTGTACATGCTCATGTGTAGTATGTACATGTTCGTGTATACAGGTTCAGGTGTGTGTACATGTTGGTGTGTGTGCACATGTTCGTGTGTACACATTCATGTGTGTGTACATTAGGAGGTCAAAGGTCTATATTGGATGTCTTCCTCAGTCACTCTCCATCTTACTCTTTGAGACTCAATCTCTCACCAGACTGATAGAGTGGTTCGGCCTGCAAGGCCCAAGGATTCTCCTGTCTCCGCCACCCAATGCTGGGATTATAGGCATGCACCTGTCTTTACGTGGGTGCTAAGGATTGAACTCAGGTTCTCATGTTTGCACAGCAATCAGTTCATAAACTGAGCCATCCCAAGCCCTTCTGTCTTTCAAGGACCCTTGTGATAAGGTTGTCCCCACCTAGATCATCAAGGACAATCTCTTTATTTTTAAGGCTATCTTAAAAAACCAGAACCAAAACCCGCACCACCTTACCTTCACATGCAACCTGAGTTCCCCCTGGTTTATGACAACAGGTTCCAAGGATTAGAATGTGGCATTCTCTGGGGTGGTCATTCTTCTGCCTACAGCCCAGGAAATGAAGACTTGGAAGACTATGAACCCTCCTGCTACCTGGAAAGATAGGCTCCAATCCCTGTGATGTGTGGTGTACCTCACTCACCCATCCTGGTGCCTGGCACACAGACCTGTGAAACAATACAAACACAGGGGCATGGCCCAACACAGAGATAAATGCACAGGCTGCCCAGACTCACATCTATTCACAGAAATGCATAGACACACACACATTAAATACAAAATAGTGAGCTTCTTCACCATACTGGCATAGCTTGGTCATTTGGGACTGCCCAAGTATGGTTAAAAGGGAGGCTAACAGCTGGGCATTGGTGGCACATGCACGCCTTTAATCCCAGCACTCAGGAGGCAGAGGTAGGTGGATCTCTCTAAGTTTGAGGCCAGCCTGGTCAACAGAGTGAGTTCCAGGCCAGCCTCCAAAGCCACACAGAGAAACCCTGTCTCGAAAAAAAGAAACAAACAAACAAAAAAGGGAGGTTAATTGAGCTGGACATGCTGATTCAGATTAAAATCTGTGTGAGACACAAAACGAATCTGCTCAACATTCCTGCACAGAGCAGGGAGGCTCCAGATGACTAGCCGAGGAGCTGTGACAGTTGCTTTGATGGAAGAAGGTCGTTTTTGTTTAGGCATGTGGGCACTAGTAAGCTGACTACACTCCAGGGGATGCCCCACACCCACGCGTGTTTGGACAGCACAAATTGGACTCAACAGAGCATTTTTTAAATGAAAGGACTTGGAGTTGGCAGTGGGTGGGAAGTGGATCCAGGAGGAATTGGGGGGGGGAACAGAGGGCTGCATATGCTCAATATACATTATATGAATGGATGAATTCCCAAAGAACAAATATAAACATTAACTGTTGGGGAGACCGATTTCTTCCTAGGCTTTCTAATTCAGCAAGATGACGCATAACCTTCCCCGCTCTAAAGGGACAGTACTCGCTGTCCTGCACACCCGTTGTGCTCGCTTCCAGTCCTGTGACTCTGCTTTTCCTACTGACCTGCTCTGAGCGGGTATGAGCAACTCCACACACGCACCACCAGAGGGAGCCTCCTCACAGGTGGAGGGAGGCCCTGAAGGTTCCGCTTCCTCCAGGAATTCATCTGTGCTCTACACCAAGGCCTGGGAACTCGGGGGCGTCCGTGCTTCCAGAGCCTTCTGTGGTCCCTAGTGGGGAGGAGCCTGTGGAGAACGCCGTTCCCTTTGTCCTCCAGGCGCGTGGTTCTGAGACCTGTCCCACGGTCCAGGAGGTCTTAGGGGGTTAGAGGAGGCCTGTGGAGGGGGGGAGCGGTGGTAAGGGCTGTGGAAGGGGGAGCGGTGGTAAGGGCTGTGGAGGGGGGAGCGGTGGGGAGGGCTGTGGAGGGAGCTGCTGGGTTGGGGGCCGTGGAGGTGGCCTGTAGAAGTGATTTGGCACTTGGTCCTTGATCCACGTACTGGTTGTCTCTCTCTCCTGGTCCTACTGTGTCCTTCCCACCCTACCCCTAACTAAGCACTGGAGTAGAGGCTTTGCTTCAAGTGTGCTTTACAGGAGCCAGGCAAAGCCAGGCGCTGCCGAGGTGGACGGTGGAGCAGGGTTGCTCAGATCTTCTATGTGGACTGAGATGTGTGGGTCCCAGGATCACATCCAGGTGGTAAGCTTTGGCAGCAAGCTCCCTCACCTGCCAAGCCATCTTGCCAGCCCCCTTGACAAATTTCTTTTTTTTACATCAAATTCGAGGCCCTAAAAGAGAACACCTTAGGACAACAGACCCTAATACCAGAAATGGGGGTGGAGTTTGGGTGACTGAGAATTATGAACCTCCGGAAATCTGTTGAATGTTGTGAGGAAGCAGAGGTGATCAGGGCCCCTGCACAGGTTGCAGAAGCAGGACCTACCACATGGTGTTTGTCCCCAAGCCCACCTCTGTCACACTCACCTCCAGGGAGACAAGCAAGGCCATGTGTCAGCACAGATCAGAGAAATGCAGTTCCTGCTTGAAGAGGCAATTGCTCACTTCTTGGAGGATACCCAAACCCTGGCTGACAGGGGTCTGTTGGATCCAGAAGACATGTGGGAATGGTTACATCTGGACAGTGCTGAGCCACAGCCTGGAAAAGTGGGAGCGCTCACCAGTGACCCAAGCATCAGCATCTGGGATATATCCTGCTCCGCCGTCTGTGTGGCTGCTCAAAGTATACAGACGGGCAGGGGAGGAGGGCAGCGAGAGGGAACTGGGGTTGACACGTGAAACAAGCTGGTTTCTAATTTACATAAGAAAATCAGAACAACAGCAATAACAAAAAGCCTACAGATGGTGCTAGCCTGTAGGTGGGCTGGAGATATGCTAGCAGCGTCTCCTTGGGGAGTTAGGGAAGGGCCCGGAAGGTCCCTGAGAATTTGACATGTGAGATGGGAAGATTATCATCTGACAGTGCTCCCTAGATACCTGGAGGCATCCCCCAGGTGACAGGCACATTCTGGTGAGGGACATCAGTGTTTCAGAGAAGCCTGGCATTGGCAAGGGTTGCCCATAGGGAAAGCTACCCGAAGACTGGAGCTTCCCCGCATCGACGGTGATTGCGGAGTTGCAGAATGGGAGAGGCCTGCTAGAGACATGAAGGATATCATTACATTACACTGTGGGTGTCAAAGTCCTCGTCTGTGTCTGGACAGACGTCAGCTCAGAGACCCAGACTGCAGTGGTGAAGGGTCACTAGGTTACCCTGCTGAGGGATCCCTACATCCCCAGACACTCTACAGTAGGGGAATGGGTTTCTCAGCTCTCTGAGGGCTGCTGAATCTCTCCGTGCCCATCAATATAAAGACTGTGAGATGACAATAGCACGGGGTACCTGTGCTGGCCAGATTTATGTCAGCTTGACACAGCTTGGGTCGCCTTGGAAGAGGGAACCTCAACTGAGAAAATGCCCCCACTAGATTGGCCTGTGGGCAAGCGTATGGTGCATTTTCTCAATCTGTGATTGATGTGGGAGGGCCCAGATCACTATGAGCAGTGCCACTCATGGGCTGGTGGTCCTGGGCGCTATAATAAAGCCAGCCGAGCAAGTCACAGAGCAAGCCAGGAGGCAGCACCCTCCATGGCCTCTACATCAGCCACTGCCTCCAGGTTCCTGCGCTGTTTGAGTTCCTGCCCTGACTTCCCTCCGCGATGGACAGCACTGTGGAATTATAACCTGAAATAAACACTTTTCTCCTCAAGTTGCTTTTGGTCATGGTGTTTCGTCCCAGTGATAGAAACTTAACTAAGACAGTGCCAGAAAGCTGTCACCGTCTGTGGATGGCGCCACAGAGATGGATAGTAACTGGCCCTAGCCTGCCCCACAGTGTCTCCCGTGGTGAGTTACAGTCACAGCCTTCCTGTTGGCGTTTGCCTAACCGGAACGTGTGCATTTGGGATGAAGCCGCTTGGGGGCTGTAGAATCCTCACATTCACTCTTGGCATTCAGTGGCTTTGGGTGGGAACAGCTGAGCAGATTCATTTGAAACTGTTTCATCCCCACAAGAAATCAGAAGGGATAGCTCTCCCTTTATGCAATGCAGAGGGAAAACTCCCGCTGCAATGGCCCAGGGGATGTAGGTGGCTGTGGTCCTCACCGGACCACTGCTGCAGCCACTTGTTGACCCCTGTGAAAGGTGGCTGCAGAGGGTGATGGCAGACTACAGCAAACCTAGATGATTGCGGCCAGCGTGCTGGATGTGCTATCATCAGAACAGATAACACCACTCGGTCACTCAGGCAATGCATGCTTAATTTTCATCAAGTAGGATAAAAAGTAGCTCACTTTAGTTGGCACCATGGCTTGGATGTTGAATGCTGCCCCCAAAGGTCCATGCGTTGGTGACTTGGTCCTCAGCCAGTGGCGCTGTTAGAAGATTGGATTTTTAAGAAGTATAGCTATGAGCGGGGTGTTGGTGGCGCACGCCTTTAATCCCAGCCCTTGGGAGGCAGAGGCAGGTGGATCTCTGTGAGTTTGAGATCAGCCTGGTCTACAACAGCTACTTTCAGGACAGCCTCCAAAACCACAGAGAAACCCTGTCTTAAAAAAACAAAACAAAACAAAAAAGAAAGAAAATAGAAAAGGGTAGCTATGTAGGAGGAAGTTAGGTCACCAGTGAGGTGCCCTTGAAGAGGATATTGGTACCCTAGGTACTTCCTCCCTCTCTTTGGGTTTCCTGGCTGCTAGGAGGTGAGTGGCTTCCTCAACCATGCGTTTGGTGCCATGATACTCTACCTCATCACAGGCCCAAGCAACAGGGCTAAGCAATTGGAACTGAAGCCTCAGAAATAACGCTCTAAGATTAATCCCTTATTGCATGATTACCTCAGGCATTCTGTTATAGTGACAGAAAGCCAACAATACAAAAGGCAATTGTTTGCAAACCTACTAATATTCTTCTCAAGTTTCACCCATAGGGGAAAAGAATCAAAATCAGCTCACCTTTCACACAGGAAAGGCAGCAGTGCCCATTCACTATCTAGCATGAGGCTTACTTGGACTCTTTCTTCTCCATCCTTGTATGATCCATTAGATGTCTGAGTCTCTGGATGCTCCACGGTGTCCCAAAGCTCCCACTGAACGAATGTCATTATGCTCGTGAGACCCACAGAGCAAGAAATGGCAATGACTGGATGCCTAGTAAGCCACAGAGGCGGTAGACAGTGGGAAAGAAACCCTAGATGGACTTGTAGGCCTGCCAGATTGATGGCGTTCCCACTGGTCCATTGGTCTGAAGCGTCCTGAAGCACGGCCTTCAAAATGAAGCGTAAGTTATTGCATGTTACAGCTGCCACAGAGAGAGGGAGAGGCATAGGGCCTTTGCAGACCTGCGGATTTGGAGACAACATACATAATGTATTGGGGACAGTGCTCTAACTAACCCACATGGCAGTGGCTTGGAAGGCTGCTAACTATGAGGCTCTGCAGCTGGTCTAGACTGCAGTTGTAGTTGCTGTTTGCCATCCTACACTGTGTAACTCAAGATACAGCAGAGGTAAAGGAGGCCGTGGAAATCTGGCCTACTCTAGATGGCGCCACTAAACAGAGCCCAAGGTAGTCCACACTAACCTACACTGGGTGCTGAGGAGTCCTGTGCAGTCCCTTGCCCAGAGACACTCAGGGTGTATGGACTCCACTCAACCCAAGAGTTTCTTGAAATGGCCTCCTCCTCCTTTGACTTGGAGGCTGCGGAGGGTGTAGCAGCCCCTCCCTCATGCTAGGGCATGAGAGGATTTGATTCCGTGGGATGCTTTTTATTTGTTTTGCAAAGCTAGCTCCATCTCGCCATGATCAGATCTCAAACCAGGAAAGGGTACAGCCGTCCTAGAAACAGTTCTGCACATGGATTCAGATCTCCTGTGCCTTGCTATCTCTGTTAAAGCTTTAATTTTAAAAACGTTCCTTTTTGTTTTTATTTTATGTGTATGGATGTTTTGCCTGTATGTATGTCTAGGTACCACATATGTGCAGTACTTTCAAATGCCACAAGGGGGCGTCATATCCAGTATGCCTATGTGAGTCCATGTTAGAACTTTTACATAGCTCTTACAAGCTCTGGTCTTGATCCCCAGCACTCCCACCCCCCCACACACGAGAGCACAATTACAGCAGGTCACGTGACTACCTTAATCGCGCATGTCAGACACCTGCTGGGTTCTTGTGAGACTGGTTGAATTACCTAAACTCATCCTGTGGCTGAAGAGACTGAGGCTTGGCTGAGGGATTTGTCCAGTATCACACAAGTACCTGCTGCATTCAGTCAGCCAGTGTCAGCTGAGCTGTGCTATGCTTTAGGTGTGACTCGTACCACCGTAAAGACCAAGTCCCCAAAGCAATGGGGTTTAGGGGGTCATGGAGTGATGCTCATGAGGGCGACAGACCATCAGTGGAGTAATCTGGTAGATTGCTGAAGAGATAAAGAGGAGGGGCTTAGTTGGAGGAGGTAGGTCAGTGGAGACATGTCCTGGATCATCAACTTTGTCCCTGTGCCCTTTCCGTCTCTCCTGCTTCCAAGCCACCCTGGGAAGAACACCTCTCCCTACCTTGTTGCTCTGCCTCACAATAGCCTAGAAAAAGGGAAGGAGACAGGAGCCACGGACTAAGGCCTCTGAAACTGCTCCAAAACAAGTCACTGCTCATTTTAAGTCGATTCTGCTCTGAAAAGCTAGCACAAGTGTCCTCCAGGCTGGAGAGCAAGTAAGGACCCAATAAAATCCTCATCTTCAGGGAGGCCACGGGTTCTTGGGCTGAGGGCAGGCCTGTGTGGTAATGGCTAGGCTTCAGTGTGAAGTAACTACAAACCACATTCTTTCCTATGGAAAACAAACCCCTCCTCCCACTGAGCATGTGCAGTAGTTTGGGGGTTTTGTTGCTTTTGTGCATAAGCATAAATAACCATCAGGTCCTTAAATAACCATCAGGTCCTTAGGGAAGGACCAATAGGTCATGGTCTGCTTGGTGCGAGGCTGTGAAAGGGTAGGCAGCCATTACAACTGACTCCATCCCCACCTGAACCCCTCCACCAATGAGCAGGTGACCCGTGGGGTCTCTGTTCCCATCCCTCCCACACTCAGGAAGTTGGGACTTGTGAAAGGAGATTGGTTTCAATCATAGACTCATAAGATTCCACAGTGGCTGGGATTTATGAAGTGGTTTGTGTAAGTATGAAAACTGCTTATGAGTCTTAGGCATGGGAAACTCAACAGAAGAATTGCCCAGATCAGACTGGCCTGTGGCTGAGTTTGGAAGGTATTTTGTATAATGCCTTCCCCATCATGATGGACTGTACCTTCAAACTGGGTGCCAGAATAAATCCTTCCTTTTTCAAGTTACTTTTGACAGGCATTTTGTTGCAGTAATGAAGAAAGTAGCTTACATTATATGCATGTATAAACACATGCATGTATGCGTAACACACACATGCACATACATACTATGCAAATCAGGTCTTTCATTGCTGTGAACAAATCCCAGAGATAATCAATGTAAGAGGAAAAGTTCATCAAGCTCACAGCTGCAGCGGTTTTTAGTCTGTGGTTATCAGTGTCCAATGCTGTGGATCTGACTGTCATGTGATGACCTGGAATGCTGTCCCTCCAGACCTGGTCAAGTCTTCAGACACCACATTTTGGACCCTGACCCAGAGTCATCTGGATAAGCTACCCCTGAATTCCAGGCTCTCAGCACCCCAGGAGAGAATACTGATTCCTGTTTTAAATTTTGAATCTGGGGATATTTGTTATGAGGAAATGCACATTTTCATTCAGTCACAAGGTCACACCTAACCTCAACAGAGAAGTGTAGCCCAGTTTTATGCCCAGGGGGAGGGAAATGGATTTGCCGAGTAGTTGACTGTTGTCTATGGAGGTTTTGTGATTCCCTTCTCCATGGGTAGATGCTGCGGTCAAATTCATCAGTTCCTGGGATACAAGAACCACAGGTCTCACTTCTGACAGCCCGATGCCCATGCTGTGTGCACTACAGTAGGCTTGGGTATCTAGAAGGAAGTAAGGAGTGGTATGGTATGGAAACGAGTACTTTGTATCAATACATGAAAAACCATACTAATACAAAGTACTCATTTCGCAAATCTACAATGCAAGCAGGTACTTTGGCCATTAAAAATAAGATCAGCGCCATTGGAGGAATGGGTCCTATATACAGCGAATCTTGAATGTAAAAGTCAGGATACAGGAGCTTGGGTACGTGAAGCTATTTTTACAGGCGTGAGGAGGCACCAGGATGCCAAATACCATACCCGTGATGATATAGAGGCCTGGGTAGAGGAGGCAATCTCCAAAAATTTTAACAGACATAAAGATGCCACGTGCTGCTGGGCGGTGGTGGCGCACGCCTTTAATCCCAGCACTCGGAAGGCAGAGGCAGGCGGATCTCTGTGAGTTCGAGGCTGGGCTGGACCGACAGCCTCCAAAACAATACAGAGAAACCCTGTCTCGTAAAAAAAAAAAACCGATGCCACGTGCTTTAACTGTGGTAAAATAGGACATCTGAGTAGGAACTGTAGACAATGCATTCCTAGAAATAATGCTTTTACCAGGAATGCATCAAACAGAAGGCCTCAGCCTCCTGGTCTCTGCAGGAGGTGTGGAAAGGGAAAACATTGGACCAAGGAATGCTGGTCGACTACAGATAGACAAGGTAGACCTTTACAGCCAGGAAACTTAACCAGGGGCCTCAGGA